CGAGTCTACCGTGGATGTCCTTCTTTTTGAACGCATACTGAAGCGCTTGATGATCCGTAATCAACTTGAACTTTTGCGTTGAGAGCAAATACACCCGAAATTTCTTTAGCGCGAAGATCACCGCTAACGCTTCTCTCTCACAGGTGGGGTACTTCTTCTCAGTCTCCGTCATCGTCCTGCTGGCGTATTGTATCGGGTGAACCTTCTTGTCTTCCTTCTTCTGAGCCAGAACTGCTCCCACTGCGATGTTGGATGCATCTGTCTCGACCACGAAGGGTTTGTCAAACTTCGGGAGCGCCAACAGCGGAAGAGACGTCACCCTCTTCTTCAACTCCTGGAAGGCGGTCCGCATCCCTTCCGTAAATTCAAATTCGACTTTGGTAGAAGTAGCAGCATGCAACGATGCAGAGACTTCTGCGAACTTAGGGATAAATCGGCGGTAATACCCCGCTAGTCCAAGGAAGCTTCGTAACTCCGTCTTGGTGCGCGGCTCGGGGGTGTCCCAAATGATCGATGTCTTCCCTGGATCCACCTCAATCCCTTTCTTTCCGATGACGTGCCCCCAATAGCCTGGTCTGTGATTGCGCGAAGGAACACTTCGCAAGCTTCAACTTCAATCCACTGCGAGCAATCAGCTCGAACACTTCAATCAAGTGGTCAACATGGATGTCCAAGGACTTCGAAAAGATGACCACGTCATCAAGGTATACTCGGACGAATGGCAGGTCTCTGAATACGCCATCCATCATCCTTTGAAATGTTGAAGGAGCGTTCATGAGCCCGAATGGCATCACTTCAAATTGAAACATCCCGTACCGACAGACAAACGTCGTCTGTTCTTTGCACCATGAAGCCATCCGCACTTGCCAATAACCCGAGAACAAGTCCAGGGTAGTGAATACTTGGCTTCCCTCAAGGTCGTCGAATATCTCTTCCATTTTAGGCAACGGCCACTTGTCGGCCTTCATCACGCGGTTAAGCGCGCGGTAGTCAACACAGAAGCGAGGTTTCCCGTCCTTCTTCGTTGCGATGACGACCGGAAACGACCAAGGAGCTACAGAGGGGGTAATGATCCCTGCCTTCTGCATCTTCTCGATCTCCTCGCGCACTACCGCGTTGTGTCTCGGAGGGAGCCTCCGAACGGCGTGCCAAATGGGCCTGTCGTCATTTAACTCAAACGAATGTGACACAGGGACATCTGCCGGCCTGAGGTCGTCCAAAGACCATGCATCTATTCCCATACTCTTGATAGAACACATTATGCGGTCGGCGTTCTCTCTGCTGATATGGCTCAGCTTAGACATGAGAAGTTCCTCCTTCTCATCTCTCTTCTCTTTCTCATCCGCCGGCTCGTACTCTGAGCCTTCCTCAGCTAGGTCCGGAAGTCCAGCATGAGGATCTCCGTCCTCAGTGACTGCTCCCGCCCAGGCAAGGTCTGGTTCAAACGGCACGCTTTCACGCAGCGAAAGGACGAAGTCTTCATCCGTGTCAGTTGAGTCAGCCGGCACGGCCCCCGAGTCTGAGTGAAGTCCTCACTGTCGGTAGCGGATCCCGGCTTCTTATGGTCTTCATCCATCTCAAGACTTAGTCGAATCGTCTCATCACCCACAGTTACTTGGACTTGCTGTTGCCCCAAGTCAATGCACGTTTGGAGCTCCTCTAACGACGGCATCCCCACGATGACATCGTACAGTGTTCCCGTAACGACAAGGAAGTCCATCATGCTCACCAGTCCCCCAAACGAGACGGGGACTTGGCGCAGTGATCCAACACAAGGGGAGCTCTTCCCATCTGCCACAGTGATGTGTTTCTTCGTACTCTCTGGCGTCAGAGAAAGTCTCTTCATGAGGTGCGGCGACATGATGTTCGGCACCGCACCTGAATCCAGTAGTGAGTGAGCATCAGTTCCATAAACTTGAACAGTAACTACCCGAAGACGCCTAGGGAAGACATCCGTGTGGCCCGCAAACCAGGGAGAACGCCCCAATCTCCTGGATAGAAGGCGCTTCATCTCCTTCCTTGCTCCTTCAGCGTCTCCACGGACAAGTTGTCCAAATGTTAGACCAGACGGCGCATTCGCCAGCTCTGACACGACGTTGTACTTGCCGACGTGCTCCTGGAGTGCCGCCTTCTTTGAAACATTCTTCTTCTTCTGGCGTGCAGGCTTCACTCTCGGCACTCTCAGCGGCTCATTCCAGGGGATAGTTCCCCTAGGAGCTACTGGAGTGGGATTCAGCAGCCTCGGGATCGAAACTTCTTCACGGTTCTTCGACTGCTTTGGCAAGGCCTCTCGTTCGACGTTGCGTTTCGTAGCTGCCACCAATTCTCCCTTGGTGGTCTCAGTTATGACCGTGACCTGCTTCGAGTCTCTGGTGGCCTTGTCACCGGCGTCGTTGGCAGAACCGCCTGCTTTGGGGCCATAAGCGCTTCCTGCGCCAGCGTTACCTTGAGGACGTGCATGAGCCACATTCTTTCTAGCAAAGCGGGACCATCAAGTCACCGTCGTGTGTCCAATCTTCCCACACGTTGGGCAACGAGTATCACGGTGTGGGTTGGAACGAAAACGAGTCGCTGAATGCCCTGGTTCCTTGCAATAGGAACATTTCCAACTCGTATCACTGTCCCCTGGTGTCTGTCGTTTCTTCATCATCAGTGACGGTTCCACCAGCTGGTTGGTGATGGCGTCCACCTTGTTCTCCAGCTTTTCCTGTCGAGGACCCACATCAGAACGCACCAGTACGCGCTTGGGCGTCACAGGTTCAACGGACTGCGCAGCAGTTTTCGCCGCCTTGAAGGCGTCACGGCCTGCAGCAAAGTCCTTCACGGTCTTCATTAGTTCTTCGTACGTCGTCGGAGAACGATAGATCGCGAACTGAGCAACACCCAAATGTGCCATTACGGCATTGCAAAGCAAGCCGTACTTTGCCTCGTCGTTGAAACCAGCCCTTCTGTAGAGCTTGTCCATTTCATCCATCGAAGTAAGCAAGTTCTTACCATCCAGTCGGCAACTCATAGCCTTATGGATGTTTTCTTCTGGCCTCGGTGCCTCCGTAAAACGGTCAGACAGGGCGCTCTTCACACCGTCCCAGTTACTGGCGGCCTCGGTCAGACTCCCATTATGACTATACGTTTCATAGTAATAGTCGAACGCGGCACCCTCAAGGTGGCATAGGATAGCTCTTGCCTTCTCCTCGTCAGGTTTGCCGCGCATAATGATGTTCTCGTATACGAACAGAAACTTGGAAACATCTGACCCGTTCGACCCATCGTAGGTAACAGGGTTAGGGCCCGCACTTGTGTCTGCGTCGGCCCTCCACAAGAGTACCATGTTGTCGGTGAAATGGGGGAGGCGGTTCTGGGGAGCGTGCCGTTCGTGGTGAGGGTTGGCCGAGTGTGGTCCCCCCTTCCCCGCAGCGCCCGTCACCCTCTCTCTTTTATTTCTACGAAATTCCTTCCAGAAGCGTCCACGCATCCGGCCCGGATTCCGCCGGGCCGTCCGCGTGCGCTTCTCTAAAATTCAAATAAAATCTCGGACTACAGAATAAAATCTCCCTCTACAGTAAAATGCAAATATTTCCCTAAAAGTATCTCACACAACAGTACAGTGTACTGTAAAGGTGCATGAATCGTCGTGGCATGACACTTCGGTAACTATTTTGGCAAATATAAACTATTTTGGCAACGCACTGCTTCCCCTTTTTGCTGCACTTTTCCGAAACCGAGTCACCCAGATCCGCCCCCGCCACTTGCTAACCTTGGTAGCTCTGTGACTGATTACAACCTGCCCGCCTTTTCTGTTTTTACCGCCATTCGAAAGCCCATTACTTTCGCTTGTCCGCCAAAAATCCAGGCTGTGCCGTGCCATTACAACGTAATATGCTTTTCCATATTGATCGATAGCCGCCCATCATCGCCATTCCGGAAAAGTGCGTTGCCAAAATAGTTTATGTTTGCCAAAATAGTTAACGGACATTATTTGACTGTTAGAATAAAGAGTTTTTTCGGGCCACGGCCTTTATTTGAGGTTACCAAATTAGTTTCCATGCGATTCAGACCTGTAAAAGGCGTTCATTTAAGGGACTTCATTCCCTTGAATGAACACATGATGTGATTTCGTTACAGTTGTAAAGCTACAGTGCTGGCCAAAATGATAGGGACACAGGCTATTCGCACTGTGGCATCCCCCTTTTGCTCCAATGATAAATGAGACGAGGCTCTGCACACGTATTGGGAGAGCTAAACGTGATAGAAAAAACGGTTTTATAGAACAAAAAACAGCTTCGGAACTATAAGGCAAAACGTGTTTACGGCATGGCCATAATGATAGGGACAAGACCTCTACCCCATTATCTGGACCCCATGTATGCGCAATACTCACCTCAGTACTTTGTAGCACCTCCCTTGGCAAGATAACAGTCCCTGCAGCGTCGTTGCATGGACCCCGAAAGGGATTTCAGTGTGTCCGTTGTGATGTTATCCCAGGCTTCCCAAACGGCCTCTTTAAGCTCTTCGACGTTGTCAAATTGACGACAACCAGCGTATACAGCACGTGCTAACAGACCCCAGAGATTCTCTATAGGATTTAAGTCCGGGGACTTTGCCGGCCAGTCCATAACCGGCACCTCTTCCTCCTCAAAAACTGCCTGACCCGATGTGCCCTGTGAATAGAAGCTCCGTCATGCATGTATAGCCATCCTGCGTCCAGCTCCTGATCAATAAACGGTAGCAAATAACTTTCTAATGTCTGTATGTAGTCCTCTGCGTTCTTATTTCCTTCGAGCAACACCAATTCGCATTTCTTCGTCCCACAAAAAGCCCCCGAAAACATGACCGAATTCCCACCTCCTTGCCTTCTCGAGAATATGCGCTTGTCCTTCCTCAGGTCGTGCCAATAGAAGGCGAAGCCATCTGGTCCGTCGAGATTGAACTTTTTCTCGTCGGACCAGATGACTTTATACCAATCTGCAGGACACCATGTCAGCTTCTCGCTCGCAAAATTTTCACGGGCGACGAGATGACGGGGCAGCATCATTGGAGCCGACACCATCTTCTTGAATTGGAAGTTCGGGTCGTTGTGCAGCGTGCGGCAGATTGACTGACCGTGAGGCAACAGAGAGTCCCAGCTCCTGACGAAGCGTGTTAGAGTCTTTTGTTTCATTTGAAGCAGCCCGAAGTAACCTTCTCTTGTCGGTGGGGGATAGCTTTTGCGGTCTTCCTGGCGATTTTTTTCTCCCAAATTCCAACGGCGCGCGCAGGAAGTTAGAAACTACGTTCTTGGAGCGCTGCACACGAGCAGCGATGTCTCGAATGGTTCTACCGCCTTGAGAAAGACCAGCGATAAGCTCCTTTTCGTGCTCGTTCAGGACTTTGCCTCTTCCCATTTCTCCGAGCTACCAACCGACTGTTTTCTGCACAACCGTCTGCAGACCCCTCGAGTGTAGCCTTAGCATGGCCTTTACGCCTTTCGGCGGAACGCAGTTTGCGTTTTGCGCCAAAACGCGAGTTAGTTCCTGTTGTCCCTATCATTATGGCCATGCCGTAAACACGTTTTTGCCTTATAGCTCCAAGGCTTTTTTTTATTCTATAAAACCGTCTTTTCCATCACGTTTAGCTCGCCCAATACGTGTACAGAGCCTCTTCTCTTTTATCATTGGAGCAAAAAGGGGCTGCCACAGTGCGAATAGCCTGTGTCCCTATCATTTTGGCCAGCACTGTACAGTACCGTTGGTACTGTATATGCGCGCTTTATATGTTTATTGAGCTTTAAAAAGTCAAAATCGGTGAAGGACTGGGTAGGATACGGCCTTTTCACCAGACATGCCTAGAAAAAATCGGTCACTTGCCACATTTTATCATGAACTGTTACTGCACACACCGTGTAGTACACGGACGGTCGTGGCACACTGCACACACCGTGTACTGAGTACACGGTGTGTGCAGTACGCCACGACGCAACGAAAACCCCAGCCAGTGCACCCCCGACTACCTTTCTGAAACAGCACCACCCACAAAACATTCCGTCGTACGGAATTACCTCTCATCTAACCTCTTTCATCCGTATTCATACAAACGGCTACATCCACGGTAGTACAAGTACCCTCGATCGAGCCCTCTTCCGTCGTCGAGCCATCATCACCTTCCCTCCTCTTTTCTTTGTTCACCCTCTCTGCCTCCTGCGGGTCAAGCACCATTTCTAAAAAGATTACGAAGCACGCCACGAAAGCCAGTATGAAGAAAACCTGCAGCTTGGTCAGCGTCAGGGTCAAATGGCTGTCCTTTGGACACTGCCCGATCGACTTGACATAATTCTCTGCCCTTGGGAGCAACCCCGATCGCTGCATGTCCAGCGTTGCGTTGCTCATCACTTCCGTGTACTTGGAGCCACGCGGAAGAAGGAACGACAGTCCACCCAGGAAGCAGGGCTCGCCCGATGACACTATCTTCTGGCAGTACATTCCGTGGGCAAGACTCATGCCCGTGGCAGTGAGACCGATCATAAATTTGCACTTTTTCTCGTACAAGTTCTTGGCGCCTTCTTCGTATGATGAAACCAGCATCGGACTTTGACCCTTGTGACAGGAACTGGCGAAGAGAATGGGAAGTGTAGTTGTTAGCAACCACTGTTTGAGAGAAACACGGAGGTAACGAGGTAGGCGTGACGTACTCTGTAGAGATAGCGTCATCCCAGAACACTTGTATGGATCCTCCTTCTGGCACGCATACTTCATACGGGGGTATATGGCACTTCTTCAGGTCTTCAATATTGCGGTAGTCAGAAACGAGGGTGTCCTGTACAAGTACCGCACTGTTAAAAACGTGGGAAGGCGTTAATTTCTTTCCGTGAGATCCTCGCTGAGAGTTTGACTCTGCTGGTGTCTGAAGACAAAACAACTTACGTCATTGCCGATTCGTATGTCAAAATCAGGAAAAGGCTGCATAGAGCAATGAGCAGGTTGAGAACCCATTGTCTCGAGCTCGTCTTGCCCTCGATGGGATCGTAGCCACCTTGACCGACCATACGGCTCACTAATGGAGATGGTTCGCGAAAAGTAGAAAAGTGATAGAAATGGGGAGAGAAAACTAAGTCAGAGGCAAAAGAAAGAATTTGAATGAAGCCAAACTTCTTTCGACAAAGACTTACGTGTGCTTTGCAGTGCCTTTCGCAATCGATATGGTATGCGACTCTTCAACAAATAGTGCTTCATCCTGCGCACCCGAGAAGATGTTCTCGGCAGCGGCTGGTAAGATTCATCCGGGGGTACGAAGCGCCTGTCAAGCATTTTGAGAAACGTAAACACACAAACAAGCCCGAATATGAAAAACCACACAGTGGTAGAGAAAGCAGTGATGAAGAAGGCGCCCGCAGATGCCGAGGAAGTGTTATCCGTATGCACAACGATGCTCAGGCCGTCGATAGCGAACGGCGGCAGAAAATCCACTCGCCTGAATCGCTCAGGATTCCGAAACCAGCCACCGACGGCCATTTCGCACTGGCATTTTGGGTCTTGCCGAATATTCCCATCTTCTGTAGTGCACTCGTCTATATTTTCGACGATAGCGTTGAATTGCACGCCGTCCTTGTTTCTCAACTCTTTGAGAGACTCGCATCGAAATCCAAGCCTTTCTTGCAGCTGTTCGAGGTATCGAATGGCCAGCCCGTCGTATCCATGAATCTGAAAGCAACACAAGATGTGAAGGTTAGCTATGCAAGCGTTTCTGTCGCAGATTAGAATGAACATGGTTCCTACCTTAGCTTTGTTCCTTACGATTATTGGATTCTCTATGGCGGTGCAGCAGCGAAGATTGACCCCATCGAGATCGCGCTCCATGGCCTCAGTCGCACAGAGGAACAGGCCGAACACTGCTGTGATGTTGACCATGCATTTGCGAAACATTGTCTTAGAATCCAATTGTGACAGATGGCGGGGTCAGGGCACTTCAGAGGATGGCAATTGGGTTCGATTTGGTGAATCCAGTGAGGGAAAGAGAAGGGTGCAATGGCGATGGCACTCTTCGGAACAGTGTCTCGGCCAGTCTGCCTCTCCCGGAAGTTCCCGGAGAGCGATGCCTTTATGGCCAATAGGGCACGGGCAAATGGGCCCCAAGCGTATTATAATGCAAGTGGAAAAGGTTCAAGCCGAGGGTGGGAGTAACTTGTTAGCGTGAGCACGAAGACCTTCCGAAACAAAGATGCTTCACACAGCACGTGGCGAGCAGGCTAAACAGGTGTTTGACGAATAGGCACGTTCCCCCGCGTCACTCGCTTGAAATTTAATCGCGACCATCCGTCGTATCCTGCGCACAAGACTTCCTGTCGCTTACATGTCAACGTCATAACAGTACAGTAGTTCCTCGGTATAAGAATATGTCCGGTGGACGGGTTTTCCATTCTTATATAGAGGATATTCTTTAATGAGGATTTGGTCCTACCAACACAGGAGAGTTAAGCTACTGTAACTTAAAAAAGTCGTCTATCCTACTCTGGCGACCGGCCGTGGCCTCCTGCAATCGTACTCTGGCCAGCCTGCAATCGCGCCTCAGGGCGTGTCTTAACAGGCTGGTTTTTGCTTTGCCTTGCCCGATCTTGCCAGGAATACTTTTAAATTCTTAACAAATACCGTATGCTTCTTAAGCCGTTGCTTTTCTTAAACACATAAATTAAAACGTAGGAGCCACTCATAGCACGCCAAGTCACTTCTTTGGGCAAGGCAAAGCAAACCGCAGCAAAACGGGGCATGTTAAGACACACCCTCAGGCGACGTAAGTACCCGTTTCCTTTGGGGATTCGGCCATCCCCAAAGGAAACGGGTGGATTTCCTGCCGTTACTGGTTTCTGAATATTGTACTGGCCCTTATTTTTGTTGTAAAAGTAGCTGGTTCTGTACCAGATTTTTGAAAAATCTTTCTCGTTGTATTCTTGTATAGAGTATGAATAAATGTTCGAAATTGGGGTCAATTTTGCAGAAACGAAAACAGTGGATGCGTTTTGCATTCTTATACCGAGGATATCCTTATATGAGGCATTCTTATAAGGAGGAACTACTGTAGTGCCATAACAGTCCATGTACGAAAAACACTGCTCTCAGCATCCAAGGGTGTCAGCCTTTGCCTGCCCCCGGAAGTGTTCGTCTTCTCTTTCCATGGTTGAGAGTGTCGCGCGCCAAATGGGAAGACAGTGACAATGCAGTAATAATGCAGTGCACTACTCGCACAGTATGTGGCGTCAGCAATATCATCCTCCACAACGGTCATACCCCTCAGATACAGCATGAGCAAACGCGATGCAGCACTTCGTCAATTCAGGCTGAGTTGTTAATGATATCTCCAACGTTTTATGGAGACAAAGTCAATATGCACGTCTGGACACTACAGGGATGACGATCAACCCGAACTCACCACGCCTTGCTGTGACAGAAACGGGCAGATGGAGCCCAGTTTCCATCACAGCAAGGCTGCTGATACAAGTACGCCACACAATCTAATCTTACAAAAGCCCCTTTGCAAATGCAACGATTATTCCAATGACTTCATCGTTTCTTTATATATACACGCAGAGGACTGCCCCTCTCATACCTGCTGCCCGGTCCGTTACAGGTGCTGCCGATGCGGCACACAACAGCGAACTACGTGCGCACGAGTACATTCTACGCTCTGCGTTACACTTGCAGTCCATTGTCCCGCATCCTGTCCTTGCTTGGCACTTCGTGCCGCTGACCTTCGACACCGTGCGCGTCTTGAGCGCTCGCACAACAGCCGTGCTCGAGGCCATTGCGCAAAGATTGCTACCCACACCGACAACACCATTGGCATAGCCAAGACCCGCCTCGCTGAGCACGTGAGCTACGCTACTCCGTCAAGCGTCGCACCAGCAACTATCTCCCGTATGCCATCATGGCTCGGTCCTATCCCGTCCCACACAAGTGTAATTCCTTGACGTCCGTACCCATGATATCAAAAATATAGATTCCCCCGTATGATACGGTACTGGACTAAATGGGTGTCATGAAAAACAGCCTTGCTTCTCAAGATTTTCTGCTTCCAACTTTTCACAATATTTGCCTTAAGGCACAGTATATCCCTAGCATGAGTAATGATTGAAATCCTAAGCTTGCGTAAGTATCTCTATTTCTGTAACTAAGACTGTGGTGCAAGGAACGATACCTCGTTTATTGTCCGCTCGAAGCCGGATCGCCCTGAGAGGCAGACGCCGCCGTCGCGTAACGAGCGGCGTATGTGCGTGTGTTACGTGGACACGTATGGCTGACTATGGCTATCATGACAATGGCTGTGGCGTTAGGTGAGCGGGAGCGCCGAAGTGACACTACTGAGTTATGGCTATCATGACACTCCCCCCGTCGCTGAGGCGCGATCCGCTGGTTTC